CCAGACTTGCAAGGTAGAATTCGGATCATGATAGTGGGGGTGGGGAGGAAACATTTAGGAACTAGAGGAAAGTCGTATTTTTCATCGTTGCTACATCACATCCTGACTAGCTTGTCTCCTCCCCGAGACCCCTCTGCAAGGGGATCTCCAGTGAAGGCCAGTACTTTTAATGAGTGATCCTATATGCATTTTTTATTGAGGTTCTTAGATTCTCCACTTAACAAGTAGAGAAAAATGTTCAGATTGAGCAGCATCTGAGGGCAGTCAGGGTTTAAACTCTGATGGGCTTTCAGCCTCCAGAGCTGCTCTTTAGGCCACAAGGTTCCAGTCCTCCTATCCAGAATGGCCGGTGCATGGGGCTACACTCAGTGAGCAGGCTGGGACAGCTCTGGGTTTGTCTGCTCACATCGCCAGCACTGCTCAGGAAACTGCTTCAGCCCTCCACATCCAAACAGGGCCTGGCCCCTAAGAGGTGCTGTGCTGCACACATTCGTGTCAAGTGAAGAAAAAAGGAAACGCCTATTGGCAATTGACCAAGACCGATGACAGATTGCTATTATTGAAATGTGCTTCTGAGCCTCAGCACCTGCGTAGCTTCAAACAGTTTTGTAATGTCTCTGAGTCTGTTTCTCTACTTTAAAAAAAATGGATCTAATAATTGTACCTACTTCAGTGAGCTATTTTGAGAATTAAACAAGGCAGGTGAGAAAGCAGATAGAAAGTGCTCAGTGCGTGTCAGTCACTATTGTTCGGAAGGCCAACAAAGTGTTCTGTGAGGTAGGAATTTAAGTATGTTATAGGTGTGTCATTGTTGAGCTCATTTGCCCTCAACTGGAATGCGCTTGACCTCACCTCTCATAGCATAGGCATCATGCTTGCTTCACTTAAACAGCTCCAGACTGGCAGTCAGCCCCCACTCCATCCCGTGCCACACACATAGACCCCAAACACTTGATACCTCTAGCTAGTGGGTAGCCAGTCTTCAACCCTGTGGATAAAACTGCCCTCCCTTTTCTTTCCCCAGCACCCATGGCTCTCGGGCTGATGGGGACCAAAGAGGAAGAGGACAGTGCCCCACAGACATGTCTTAGTTGAGTGTGCCCTCTCTCTACTGCTCCCTGACAGGCAGCGGCCGACTGTGGGCAGGCTGCAGCCGCTCCGGGCCTCTCCATCCAGTAGAGGGCTCTTGCAGAAACCCATGAAGGAGCTTAGTTCATTTAGATGACAGGTACAATTGTCCAATAAATGACTAAAATTCAAGCATTCCTCCTCGCGAGACAGGAGGGAGGCAGTTCGTTTTCTTTGTGTCCGCGGGTTGATGTGCACAAGTGCTGCAGCAGGTGCTCCAGCCACGCAGCACTCCTGCTAGGAAAACTGCAGCAGACCCAGCCAGCGCACAGCAGGAAACGTTTCCAAGGTAAACGGTTTCCTCACGTACAGGTGCGAAGAGTGAAATTTGGGGTAAAAATGAGCAGAACTGAAAACCTGGCAGCTTCACCAGAGGAAAGTGGAAGGCTCCTTCAGCTTCTCTGCAACACTGGAAACCCTCACTCTTAGGAGTACCGCTTTCCTCCCAAACGGGGCTTCCATGCCACCCTTCACCGGTAGGTGGCGCCCTCACACCAGATCTTTTCACGTGAAACACGAAGTTTCGAATCCAGTAAAAGTGTGCTGTTTTGTGGTCAGCTCTTCCGGTGATAACACTGGGCATGGCAGGCACACAGTTCTAAAAAAGAAAGCCTGTGGGTGAAAGGAGGTTAGTCTCCAGTGACAGATTGGCAAGAAGTGACAGCACTTGTGGACCCAGCCTTCCTGCTCTTACCTTGTGAACTTTAACGTGTCTGTTGGGATCATTATGTACAGTTCATAGAATTGTGGAGACTATAAATGAGATTATGCACTCAGTATTACATACAGGGTTCACGAAATGTGCTGTTATCATGAAGTGGCGAGTGTTATAGAACCATATATACAGTTTGAACCCATTTATTGGGGTAGGAGGGGGGAGTATGCATAGCCCTGTAACAATGTCTGGAAGGCTGTAATGCCAAAATATTAACAGTATTCTCTGGAATTAACAAATTTGTTCTTACCGAAACCTTTTCTGAATGTGGGCTGGATTTTAAAACATTCGGCATCTATTGCATACGTAATTAGAAAATAATTCTACATAAAATTCTCAAGCTTGAGCATTTGCCCCAGGCCTTAAGTGTGGCTGCTACAAGACCTGGTCTTCTGGAGAAGTGGATTTGGTTCATCAGGAAAGGCCCCAGGCATAGTGCCAACCTCACTGAGCTAGCTACAAGGCTCTGAGAAACCCATTTCTTTAGTGGCGGACAGGAGAGTGTCCAGGAACTTGGTCTGTCATTCTGCTAACCTTGGCCTATGGCAGTTCTGACCAAGGCCCAGCTCCAATTTTGCCTTTTCCATGGAGCAACTTAAAACTCGCCCTTTTGTTGGATTCCTTCTGCCCAGCTAAACCCCCGACTGTGCTTCCTCTCCAGGCTCCAGCCCTCGGTACCAAGGATGGGCTTGCTTTTAGACACATTAGCACTTCAGCTCCAACTGCTGGGTATTCTTAGATCAGTCACTTGAATGCCACTTGGGCCCTTTTCTCGGCTTTATAAAATGAGGAAATAGCACTTGAGGAAGGAATTCAAATAACTAGTTTGTGGAAGATGACAGTTGCGAAGTAGGCTTCATATGAATTCTTTCCCTTTTCTGCGCATGTTTATTCACCTTTACTATGGGGACATTAATAACTCCCGTTAGAATTAGAGAAGACCCTAAAAGCAAGGACATTTTACCAAGGACCCCTTCCAAATGCAGGCTCAGACCACAGAGGCGGCTCCCTATGCCGAGCGCTTTCCCAGGTCTGCCCTTGAGCCGAGGAACAGCTAGGGCAGTGTTTCCTCCCGAATGGGTGGGGCTGGCGGTTTGCCCTTGGGCCCCCAACTCTCTTGAATTCCACAGAGGTTGGAGACCGGACTGAAGCCTCGTCTGCACGTTGCATTCTCTCAGCCGATGCTCCCACTTTATGGCTGCCAACTTGGCCTTCCGTCCAACACACATTCCACTCATATGTGCGTTTGTGCATTCTTCCTCCCACACCCTTCCAGAGAACCAATGCCGGGCTGCCGGGGCAGCTGGTGGAGAAACAGCTTCTGGGGAATTGTTTTAGGAGGGAGGGGGCGGGCAGTGATGAAGTTTTCACAGAACTCTCGGTTCAGGATTTGCACATATTCCTCCCTCTTCTGACCTTCCCTCCCACCATGGGATTGCTCAGGGCACTCGGTGATGCTAACTTTGTGTTCTCTCCTTTTTTGCAAATGTTTTCCTTTGTATTGTTTAAATACTTTCACTTTTACTTATATATTCATTCCTTGAATTTATTATAGAAAGCTCATTAATGGGTTTATATGAAAACTCCAGTAGAATCACACCTAATCCCCTTCTTAGTACCAATAACTGCTAGTGTATATAATCTATTGTCATCATTCTTTAAAAGTTGTTTTAAGTCGCTGTAAGATACTCCAGCATGCTGATGGTCATGATTTCTAAACAAATGCCCTACTGTTGACACTCAAATGTCTCCCAAATGCTGCTAATGATGCAAATGATTTGGAGGTTATAGTGGGTTAAATGTTATTAACACTTAAAGATACTTAACCCCTAGAAAGGTTTTTGCCGTGTTAGCATGAGTTTAAAACCTTTCCCAATTTTATATGCAAAAGGTTTTCATGATAGGTTTTTCTAATTGAATACCCTTTAGAATGGGATTACACACACACACACACACACACACACACACACACACACACACACACGCTGGCCTGCTGTTTTTCTTCAGTGAGTTGTCCATATTCTTTGCCCATTTTTCTATTGGGAGACTTACTTTTTTCCACACTGAATTTTTAAGGGCCTCATATGGATTAAGTATAGTTTTGTCCATTTATCAAAGTCTTCACTGATCCATAGATCAATTTAAGACCTACTATGTATTTTTAATTATTTCATGTTTACTTATGCCTTCATTTCCCCCCTTGGAATTTAATTTGGCCTATGGTACTTTCTCCCAAATCCTTAGTAAAGGAGTCTCCTTTATTATAGAATTCCATGTGCAAGTCTACTAGAGACTGTGCCCATGTTTTTCTTCTTAAACTAGAGCCATCTAGTATAAAGCTATTTTAATATACTACCACCTAGCCCCAGATAAGCAAAAGCCCATAAGGAGTTGTCATCTGCATGGATTATGTAACAGTTGAGCATTATATGCCCTCCTGCTAACTGCATTCTTATTACAGTCCACCAGAACTTTCTCCGTACCCCTAACTTGAGTGATCAAGGCCTGAATATTGCATTACAAAATGTTTCACCCTGGTAAGAGCCGTGTGGTTTTCATAAGCCATGCCAGCTTACACAGGCAAAGCTGAGAAAGGGAAATACCAGGCGAGGAGTTAGCTAGGCTCCCTTGCTTCTTCCCATGCCGACCAACCCTGTGGATCGAAGTCAGAACCCAGCCCTGAAGGGCACTTCCAGCGCCAACCCGGCTAAGTTTCGTAAACGGATTTGAGCAGAGGCATGTTTCAGAGGTGTGTGCTGCTCCAGACCTGAGCACTGCTTCTGCTGCTACAGCAATTCTGCTCCACGTGCAGTGTGGACAAACAGCTAGTCCTCATTTCATTTAAAAGTTAGCTATAAACACAGGCACCCAAATCAATATCCTTCCTTCTTCAGTCCCCATACCTGTTTGCAAGGCCCTTGCTAAACTGGACTCAGGGGCCACATAAGCTCAAGAGCCAACAAAGTACATAGTTTGGAGATATAGTTTTTAAGTGGAGGTAGGTGGAGAAGTCACCCTTAATTTCCTTCCTGCCCTATGTGATACTATACTTAGTAATAGAGAAAGCAATATTTTAAATTCACTGACAGTCCCAAAGGTCTGCACACCACTAGTAAAAGTAGTACCAAGCCTCTTCCAACTCAAAATTTAAACCTACCCCTGTATTTACTTTTAGGAGTCCCGGTGTAGTTACACACACCTCCACCTGCTAAACAAAAGGCCAATGGTGTGAACCCACCATTCCATCGTTCCCCAGAAGAAAGATGAAGCTGTCTGCTTCGGTCAAGATTGAAGTCTTAGCAACCCACAGGAGCAGTTCTACTGTCTGTCTTGCAAGGTTGCTAAGAGTTACAACCAACTCGAAGGCAGTGAAGTTTGAGTTAGAAAGATGTCCAAGCCTAAGGTGACCAGATGTCCCATTTTTTAACAATCTGTCCCATGTCCCGTGACAGTTTTAAAAAGTCCCGGTTTTGGGAACGAATGCAGGACAAGCTAGGGTATATGGTTTTTGGCTGCCATGTGGCTATTTTGTCATGATGAGTTTTATCAATGGTGTCCCGCTTTACCAATGTTAAAATCTGGTCACCTTACCCAAGCCCGTATCAACTTAAAAAAAAAATTCTCATCCAACCACTGTACCTACTTTTAGATTTCACTACTTGTAAAAGGTGAGAATTCCATTGTGGCCTCCTTCAAAGCAATGACTTAAGATGGTTGGTTAATGGCTTCCTGGACATAAAGAACTAAGCAGAAAGTACGGCTAATGGTTGAGAGACAGATCATTCGTGGTTTACAACAGGCTGCTTGACTAAGGAGATGGAGTTCTCAGGCAGGGATCATCCTGCTCCATCTAGTACAAAGTGGAGTTGAGCCCTCAAGAGGGGCAGCACCTTGTCACAAGTGAGCATGCCAACCTCTCTCCAGTCTTTTGTAGCCCCTACATTACTCAGCTAGTATCTTTGGTGGAGAACCTTAAGAAAGCGCTTCTGGAACTTTATAAGAAAATTATTTTAAGTCTTCACACTGATGGAATGAACATTCTCTAATGTTACAGATGAGAAAAGGAAACTCAGGTTTACTAACATCAAAGGTCACATAGTAGTGGCACTTCAGTCCTTTAGAACCAGGTTCACCTTGCCTCCGTCTTAATCACTGCCAGCCTGGAAGAGCAAGGAGCCATGCCATCCATTTTACACGGAACTCAAATTCAATTTGTATTCTGTATGGGAATCTACAAGTTGGTAAGGTGAGACTGTGGTCCTGGGAGGATTCATTTTCTCTTTGCCTGCCAAGTACTGGTATCCCAAAGGCCACCCCATGATATCTTGGTGAGTGGGCGGGTAACACCCAAGTTTGGAATCTGATTCCTCTTCCTATATTGGATTAGTTTCAAATCCAGTATCATGTTGAGAGAGGTTTCTGATGGGATAAATCTTGCCCAGAATTAAGTCACTGCCTTTTCATCCCACATACCACCACCCCAACCCACCCTCAGAAACGTCAACAGTCAAGTAAACAAATTTATTAAATCCAACAGCAGGTAACTTTCCAAATTAAAAAACATCGAAAGAAAATATGTAGACATCAAAGACCAAAAAAAATGTGTGTAACAAGTTAATAAAAATATTTAAAGGGCCATTTGGAGAGTGCAACAATGCAGAGAATACAAACAAAAGTATTGACTTCTGTCAACAACTTTGTACAACCTCGAGAAACTGACACGCTGGTCACAAACCAGGAGGATCCACAAAGGTGGAGGGTCACGTGAGTAGTGTGGACTCATCACCTCAGCGGGTTAAGGCAGGGTATCTGTAGGACCAATTCATCCAAGCCCCATTTGCCTATTGCTTCAAATTCCCCTTTGAAACCTAGAATCAGATTCTTTAGTGCAACAGGTAAGAACAATTAAATCACAGATGCAGGGGCCTGAGGACCAGGGTCTGAGGAAAACTCCTCCCAGAGCAAGTAACGAGTATTGGGGGTGGGAAACCCACTGCAGCTGCTGAATGGCTTCCTTTGGCAATATCCACGATTTGTGTTGAAAGTAGGTGGGAGGGATGGTGGGTAGTAGAACTGGGTGTGAGTGCAGCCTGGGGTTTCAGGAAGGGAAATGAGGACGAGATGCCCTAGCACCTTACGCAGAACCCATTGCAACTATCTTGGCTTCTACCATCTTGTTTCATTTCAAAAGGGGGGAAAAACACTGCTGAGCCTCAAAAAGACATACTCCTGGTTCATGCTAAAGTGAATATAAGAGCAAAAAGTTTATGGAAAAGTTCCCTTATCTTTTGATTCAATTTTCCACCAACTTTTTTTTTATTCTCCTAAGAATTACGTATTATATATTACCATGGGAATAAACTCTGAAGGGGATTGGGGACTCCTCCATTTGACCCACAGCAGAAATGGAGCATCAGTGTTGGCATGTCCTCAGCTGAGTTCCAAGTAACACCCTTCAACTGTAAAACAGAATTGCCTCGTCAGCTGTTTAAAGGAGGCTGCTGGATGCCCTTAAGGAAGACCTTTGTCAGTTACCAAATGTTCAAGTAATCGCTAATCAAACAGAAACGGAGGGAAAATGGCAAAGCAGGCAACAAAACCACATCCCAGACAGCAGCAGCTTCCTTCCAGCCCTCCCTTTATTGGGGCCGCCTTAGGACTTCCTTCCCCTAACACTAAGGATGGCAAACTGAAAGATGTTCTTCTTTTAGACAAGTCCTTCCCCCACAGCTCCCCCCAGGGTTTACCATAATTTGGCATAGTACACCAAGGTCATCCAATCCACTGTGGAGTCTCCTCCGCTGCAGCCTCTGGCACTGAGGACTGACTGTGGACACCAGGCCCTGGGAGATCAGATCAGCACTGTTCCAGAGATCACTTCATACCGTGCTGTTGAATTCTTTCTCGCCAGGGCTAGTTCAAGGTTTCCTGGGGGAAGTTTAACATGGGACCTTCCCAATGGGACTTCCTTGGACCTGGGGCCTTGGTCAAGCAAGCAGAGATCTTTATTCAGTTCTAGGTTTTTTTCCTTGTCAGAAGGGTAGGCATGGGCTTTGGACCTAACTTAGAATATAGCCATATCTGGCAGCCATGAGAGGGCAGCTACTGGGGCAACCAGCTGAAGCAATGCAGAGCCAGTACAAGGGGTGCAGTTAAAAGCGATACATTCAGAGTTGGCAGGGTGGGGGAAAGCGAGTCAATGAAGCAACGCTTCATCTCATACCAGCTTTCTAATAAATTGCTAGAGAAAATAACAGCTCACAAAACCATTTGCCCCAAACCAAGCAATTTCCCAACACACATTCTATTTGTTGAGGTATCCTTCAGATGTTGGCTTTTAAACTTCCCGCATCCCCACACCACTCTGGAGTCTCACTGCCAGTGTGAAGGGTGTAGGACTCGCCCGAGGGGTGTGCCTTTGGCTTCTTCCACAGAATTACTGCTCCGTTAAGAACAAAACCTGCCTTAGGTTCCGAGGAACAGGGCATTTTATTGCCAGAAGCTTAACTGAAAATACTACACACACCTCACCTCGGATCCCTTTGCTGAAAAGCGTCTGCATTTCCTTGGCCACGAAAACTCCGTGCTTTGGCCCAGAGCTACTGCAGAAACTGGCACGCCTGGGTGGTGGGTGAGCATCAGGGAACCAAACGAAGAGTGTTTCTGTCTGACCAGCTCCCGTTCTGACTTCTCCAGATGCGTTTCACCAATGGATCATTAAAAACATCAAAACGTGTTCTTTTGAATGGCTCCGTGGCTGGGAAGGGAGTCCTTGGGGGGTGCAAAGGTGCTTGGCTGCTGCTTAAAAGGTGGGAAGCTCAGTCCACTTAGCGTTGACTTGGTCTACATTAGAAAAAGCAGCCCTGAAAACTGGAGCACAGTTCTACTCTGACACTGGCCAGGAGTCAGAATGGACTCAACACTTGGTTGGGGGCAGCTTGTGTGTGTGTGTGTGTGTTAATAGCTTAAAAACAAAAGATCTACCTACTATATAGTCCACCTAATATACAGAACGAAGGAGTCTTGTTGGCGACGCAGTTAGGTATTAATGAAAGGTCTGTGGTTCAAAGCCACCAATCCTGCTCCTCAGTAGAAAGATGTGGTTGTCTGTTCCTGTAAATATTAGCCTTGGAAACACTGCGGGGCAGAACTACTCGGTCTTATAGGGTTACTGTGAGTCAAATCTATGGATTTTAATGCATGGAATGCCTTCTGATAGGCTGGGAGGAATCCAGTCCCTTCGGCATCCTCCATCTCGTGTACTTTCCCCCTGTACATCCTTCAGACCTGGGTCAGAAAGGACCTTCTCTAGTAGGAACAGCCTGTCTTCCCCTCAGCCAACCTCCGGCCATTCTAGAATGGAGAAGAACCGGGGTGCAGATGGTTACGGGAGGAGGAGGTCTCTTTTAAGACCTTAGCCTAACACGACTACTACAGCGGAGGTCAGACCTGCTTGGGCCCCAAGAGACTCTTACATAGGCAGGACTGATTCAGTGACAACAAAGCAGGCACCCGGCCTAAGACTCTCTTCAGCTTCTAACAGCATCTACTCCTCAAAAAACCAAGTTCCAGGACATTCTCTGTTAATGTCAATTTTAGAGAAACACCGCAGCAACATCCCCAATCATCTTTGCAACAACGGAGGCCCAAAGGTGTAAGCATAAAAGAATGAAGACAAGCAGTTCCTGCTCAAGATGTAAACACCTACTTGGGGTAAGGCGGGATTAGGAGAGCAAACTCCAAATGACAAATTCTCACTGCCCCCGGAGTATAAATATTCTTTTAAGAGTTTATTTAAAAGATTCCCTTTTCAATGTGTTTCCAAGTGTCGGAAGCTGAACTGTGTAAGTTCCTGCCAATTGGCACAGCTTCTAGAAGACATATTTTGTAAAACTGAAAAACAGCAAGAGACTCCACTACTGAAACTAGGTGTGGGCCAGAATCAGCTCCTCGGGTCCCTGTGTGGCAGTCTGGCCAACGTTGGCCTTGCGGAGCCGGTGCGTGAAGGAGTTTGGGGCACTCTATCTTAAAAGGAAAGGCTAAGTGAAAATGGTCCAAATTCAGATTCAAAAGCCTCCTTCATCCTCGTGTTCCCTGGTGCTCACCTTCCACTGTCATATACTGAAGGCAGCTCCCTCTTTTACGGCCAGTTTTAGCAGGCAAAGAAACAATTGACTATCAATACATATATGTGTGTATATATATTTTATATAGGTAAAATATATACATATATGTATATATGCATATTTGGGGGCAGGGAGGAGAGGAGGGTCATGTAAACCTAAACAGTCATCACATTACCCCCAGTGAGCCTGACTTTAACAGAACAGGTAATAAATAACTCCTGGGGCTTCGGTGACAACATGGGTGCAGCAAGAGGGGAGAGGGCACACGGTCAACTATTAAATACACGTCGTATGTTGGCTTGGCAGAGCTCAGGCCAGCCCCAGGCTTCTTCACTTGCCAGACAAGTAAGCTAATGATATTCAAAGAAAAAAAATTAACAAAATAACAATACAAAATTTCAAGCAGAGCTCCATACCACAGTTTTTTTTTAAGTCAGCTGGCCGGCAGGCAGAGTTTTCCAACCACCAGGAACAGGAACTTTGGCTCCATGTCAAATTAAAAAAGCAGGAGAAGAAAGTATTTCCACTTACAACATGAAAACACAGAAACTTCAACAAAGAACAAAAACTACCAGAGAGGTCTACTTCCAGCAAAACTGAGGTAGCACTGCTTCTCTGCATGCGATGCTTCAGTGGTTCTCAGTATGGTGCGCTTAAACAAATAACTGCTCACTTGCCTGGCGGGGGCAGCATGTTGGTGGGTAAACGCAACATGAAATGCAATAGATCAATGAAGGAATGAGCAAGAAGTGAGGGAAAGGAGGGTTTCCGATAAATTAGCTTGAAGGTGGGTGTCAACAGACGGCAAAAGCTCCCCCAGGGCTTTGAACTGTCTGGGAATTAATGCAATGTGGTTAACAGTTAACACTGCAATTCAACTTGGCGTAAATCTTTAAAAAGAATTATTACAACCTAAATTCAACCATGTAAACAGCACTACACAAAGTACAGACCTGCCCTGAAAAACAAAATATGCAAAACAGACCTGGCACTGGGTCGTTTTTTTTGTTCATTCAACCTAACTGTCCCAGACCCCATCCTGCTCTGCACTCTAGCCCCCCACACCCCCAAATCTAATTTGTGCAAGAAATGGCAGGCTTCTCCTATCTGAAGGCTTCAAAAAACGATACACAACATGTAGCCAGGTTCAAATATTTTGGGGTACCCCCCCAAATGAAAGAAATAACCAAAATAACCAAAATGAAGAAAGTGCCTAAAACATGATACAGCATTTTAGAGCCCTTTCAGATACAAGGCAGAGAAAGGTGTAAAGTAGAAAATATCCGGATCTTCAGTAATTTCCAGAAAAGTCTAACTCCTCCGTTGGCTGCAGGGCAGCGGACAGATCCTTGGTGTTGCTCCTTGCGGAGCCGCTAAGTCTGCCCCTCAGGACACAAGCCCTGGGGCCCTGAGCTGAACACACCACTCCCTTCCTCTTCTCTTTTCCTCCGCTCCATTTCCCACTCCACAAAGGTATCAAAGAGACTTGGCCAGGCCTCGTCTTCGCTGTAGTTGCTGAGGTCGGGGCCAATCACCTGAGTGAAGTTAAGGAACATGTTCCAAGTGTCCCGGGAGATGCCCTTGATCCCCGAGGGGTTCTCTGTGAGGAAGTGTAGCCACTGGTCCAAAACGGGAGGATTGTTCTGGGTAAAGACTAGTTTCCACAGGGCAATGGCTATTTCCCGATGCAGCGACCGCTGCCCTTCTTCCGAGTCCAGGCCAAACTGAAATGTAAACCGGTAAAGATCCTTGAATCTGTCCTCTTGTTTGGCTTCAATTAAGAGGCTGGGGAACCGCGCACAAATCCCATCAATGCTGTCTGCACTTATTGCTTTGCAGCCATCAAAAAACTCTTTCCTGCAACAGGAAGGAAGGGAGTACAATTAGAAATTATTGTAAGCAACATCACTTTGTAAGCACCATAATTAAGAGCATGGGTTTGGGGAAGGACAGTCTCAATTTGAAGTCTAACCCCAGCACTAATTAGTCCGATTTCCTTATTGTTTTGATAAGGACTACAGAGCTAATAGAAACGAAGTGCTCCCCACAGTGCCTGGCACATGGTAGGCAGATGAGTGATACTGGCCCTTTCATTTCTTCATTTATCCTGCCTTGCACCAGAGCCAGGCCTGTTCCATGCTGCCGTAGTGATTAAGCTGCAGAGACGCGCCCCAAAGCCTCTTTCTTCCTGCTTCCCTTTTGGTTCCTGGTGGGCTGTTTACTGGGGGAATGGTTTTTGTTACAGCCAAGGGAGAGCTCTGGAGTCAGAGATTCTGGATGGATCCACATAACTCTACCACCAATCATCAAAATTTTGTACTACAGAAACAAAAATAGTACAGATATTTTAAAATTTTATATATAGCACTTTTCTGTTTACAAAGTGGCTCACAAGGACCATTTATTCAAAGGCTGCTGAAGTGAGGGTATGAGGTCAACTACACGGGCACACAAGTTGGAACATGTGCAGCCAGTTCTGATTCACAACTCAGTACTATGCACACCACACAGTGGAGTGACCCTGCCCCGTTGTCTGCCAAAAACCACATGGATAGGGACGAGGAAGAGGTACACAGTGACTGCTTGGTAACTGCAGTCAGTGCTTCTGGCACATAGACTACGTGGCCCATAGCACCGGCACGTGGCTTTGTGGAGAAATACAAGTGTATACCCAAAGGTACTCACCGTAGTGATACTCACTGTCCCCTACATGTGACGCCAACATGGTTAAAGAGAAATGCCCCACAGGCTTACCAAGACTGTAAGCTGTATGGAGGCAGACCATCACATCTTTTTTCTCCGAGAGCAACTGGTAGGTACAAATCATTGACTTTTCAGTTAGCAGCCAACTGCTTAACTGCAACGCTATCCGGGCTCTCTGGCTCATGGATAGGTGTGCAATGAATAGGGAGGATGGGAATGAGTAAAATACATTCTAAACAGCACACGGCTGGACAGCAGCTCAGCATGGGGATACACTGGATTACTCCTAAGTTCAGCCCAAAGCGGTCCATGCCCAGTTACTCAGACATTGCCTGTTACTATGGCAAAAGCTGCCAGAAATTTGACCCACGAATTAGGCAACGGCTCATTTTATACCAAGAAACTTGAGGTCCACATAAGAATCAGACACAAAGCTTGAACCCTCTGGGATTCCTATTCCTACCACAGAGACAGGTATACATTAAAAACAAAAACCCTTAAAGGAGTCTCTGGAGGAGAACATGACTTAGCTCAAAGAATTTAGGCTTTATAGTAAGTGGTCAAAAAAGAATAAAGACTTACCCAAACCCCTATGAATCCAACCCAGTTATATCCTAGGTAGGCACCACTGCCCAATGGTGTGCTCTTTCCTCCTTGGCTCACCTGGTGGACATGAACTATTTGTGACTAACCTGGTGAATTTGCACATGGTAGCAGCCTGGAACTTCCAAGCCAAGAGCAGCACTCGAAATTCTGTGGGGTCGACACACAGGTCATTGCAAAAGCGCTCCATGCCTTCCTCCAAAATTGCATCCTCCCGCTCGTCCTTGTAGCGCCTGAATAGTTCTTCCAACCTCTGCAAGGAAGACTCCTCGGCCTTGGACTTTGGCTCCCTCCCAGCGTCTCCTGAGGATGTTGGCAGCTGGAAGGCCTCGGTGGCAGCGTCCGTTTTCTTGGTCCCATTAACGAGAATATCCCCACCTGGCTTGCCACAAGCTGGCACTTGTTCCTCACGGTGGCCTGCGCTCCGCCGGCTGTGTGATTTGCTGCTGGGGTCACGGTCTCCATTCTTGCTGCCCAAGGTTGACGAGGGATTCTTACATTTGGTGACACACTGGCCCATGGTGCTGGTGGCCTGGACTCTAGAGTGGCCCCCTCAGGATGAGATGCCCTCGTTGCTGCTGACTTATATGCCTCAACATGCCATCAGCTAGAGGAGCCAGCCAACCTGGAGGGAAAGCAGAGCACAGTCACATCCAGCCAGCGAAGACACAGTATGGCTGCTACCCCTCCTTGGCTGCCCTCTGCTGCACCAGGCCTTCTTAATGAGCCAACAAAACACCAAGGGAGATGCCCTGCGTGCCCGGAAGATGCAGTTTGCCAGTGACAAGGGCCCACAAGGAGAATTAGGAAGGGCAATTCCTGAAATCCTGAAGGTAACGTATGTTACAGAGAGGTTGATCAGTTTGGCCAGAAAATAGTAGAAAATACATCTTTCTACTTACCATCACATAAGAGTTATTTGAACTTTGGCTGATACAAAAGGTACAAATAAAAAGTTAAATTCCTAGCCCCTAATGTCAGAATTCCCAGGGTTCCTTAAGTAGGATTACTAAGAAGAAAGGGATAGAATATCCAAGATAATATATGAGGGGGCTCCAAAAGGTCTGTAGATCAATAGAATGAAAGGTTGTAGGGCAGTGAGCTTTTGTGTGGCTGAGCATGGCCAAGCTCTTCTGGCTTGCGCACCAGCTCATTTCCACTTGCCAAAGAGGACTTGCTCAGTGGCCTTGGAGGCCCAGGGTCCTGACGTCATTGCCACCTTTGTCTTTCTCTGGAGATGCAAAGAGACTAGAGTCTGGCCTCACCACTGCCCACGACCTCAGATCACTAAGTAGCCCCTTAACTACAAATACAGTTATTACCATTGTAAGTTCTTTTATTGCTCTGGGTTAAGCACTGGACTGCTAACCTCCGGGTTAGTGGTTCAAAACCTCCAGCCTACCCAAGGGAGAAAAATGAGCTTATCTGCTCCCTTAACGATTTTGGATCACTACGAGTTGGAATCAATTCCAAAGCCAGCCAGCAGGCTTGGTTGGGGTTATGTTACCATCGTATTACCATCACAGAGTACTGAAAAGCAAGGATGTTATTTTGAGGACTAAGGGGCACCTGACGCAAGCCATGCTATTTCCCATTGCCTCATATGGAAGTGATAGACACAGAATGAGGAAGATGAAGAAGATTCAAAGCATTTGAAGTAGGGCACTGATGAAGAATATTCAAAGTACCATGGACGGCTAAAAGGAGAAACAAATCGGTCTTGGAAGAAGCACAGCCAGAGCTCCTCGGTGGCAAAGATGACAAGATCTCATTTTACATCCTTTGGATGTGTTATCAGGAGACCAGTCCCTGAAGGAGGACATCCTGCTCAGTACAGAAGAGGGGCAACGGAAAGACACCATGGCCAAAGTGACATCGTGGCTGCAACCACGCATGGGCTCCAACACGGCAACAGCTGTGAGGTCGGCCAGCACAGGACTGACTGGGCAGTGGCTCGTTCCTCACGGCGCCTAACAACAACCATCACAGAGCTGGCAGCCTTCTCCTTTGGACTTTTGGAATCTTGGGAGGAAATTTCAGGTTAGTGGTCTGTGCCCAGGCAATTGCAAACGTGCCAGTGGGCTAATGGCAGGGCTGTTAAGGCAGCAGCATCCAACAGGAGTCAACCCTGAGTCAGTGAGCTCCACAGGGGCAGGTTTAACACACCTCCAGGGGGAGAATCCAGGAGTCAGCAACAGCATGTGAAAAGGCCTCTCTCATAAGCACCTACCCAGGCTCAGGTGAAGTACTGCATGGATACTGGGTTGCCACCCCACCTCCCCACCCCCAATGCCAAGTTGCACAGCCTGGGTGTGGAAACTGTGGCGAGGTGTAGTGAGATGGCCACTCCTGTGAGCAGTTTGGCCACCGGCACCTTGTCAGCCCTGAAAGCTCCTGCCCCTACGAGAATGGCACCAAGAGTGCCAGTTCGCAAGGGATGGTGCCAGGGCTTCCTGCGGCCTCGAGGAGACAGTTTGTGAAGAGGAGGAGGAAGGGCTCAGGGGCAGGGAGTGTGAATGAGGGCTCTCAGCCCAACACTGCCCTCCCCCCTCCCTTTCCATGAGTGGAGCCCCAGTTGAGGCAACCATCGCCCAGCCCCTCCTTCTTCTCGCCCTCAGGCAGTGGGGGCGGCACAGCAAGCAGAAGGCAGGGAGAGAGAGATCTGGAGATGATGATGACCAGGCCAACTCCTAGATGTGGCATGTGGGGAAGCCACCTGGCTGTCCCCTTCTCCCCGCAGAGCAGCACTGTGAGGTGCCTACAGCCAAAGTACGCAAGAATACGCACAGCATACAGGGCCAGGGTTCTTTGGGGCAGAAAAGGAATGCGGGATCTTACAGGTGGCTCCACACTTAGCACGCAGCTCTCCAAGTGGATGAGGTGAGGGGGTGTGGTGTGGGAAAGGGGGGTGGTGCTAAAGAAATCCCGTAGTTCCGCACAAAAGCAAGTGAAGCCCCTTGATGGCAACCTGAGAACTTAGTGGTCTCAGGAGAGGGCAGTAAAAGAGAAAACCACCTATGAAAGACATTGAGGTGGAGCGTCGCCCCAGCATAATGCCATCTTTGGGCTCCTACCCTGGCCCTGTGAGATCAAGCCCCTTGTCTCCAGTGAGACCCACCTAGTCCCTAAAGACTGGTGGTGGAAGCTGAAATCACTGCAAGGACAGGGTCCTGCATGGCGACTGGAGACCCCAAGTGGAAGTCAGAATATACTGGTCAGGACCAATAAGCTGGAGCCCTCGCTCTGGTTGAGAAGTCTGGTCTTCGGAAACCCTAAGGCGTTTTTCAAGGCCACCCCCCTTGGCAGAATACATCTAGGGGTGATTCTCCGTGGGAAAACTGCAGTCACGTAGTGAGAAGAGCCTTGATCCTACCATCCCGGTTCGGAACTGTTAGGAGACACCTGGCCCACATCAGACGGTGTCAGACCTGGCTCGTGTGTGTTCTTCAGCATCCCTCTAGCCTACAGATCTCCAAACGTATTTGGTCTACCACCCCCTTTCCAGGGGGGAAGAATTACTCAGTGCCCCCCTGGCAATTTGTACTGTAGCCCATAATCCAGAATCAAGTGTAGGTTATCTGTAGCCACGCTATACCATTCTAGCTGCCACCCGGCACGACCACCCACTTTGGGAAGCACTGCTCTAACTCCATATGCTCAGGACCAGGAAGGGCAGCAACGGGCCCCAACATATGTCGTGGGATGGTTACTAGGGACCCAACTCTACCTTCTTTCCCATTGCCGCAGTCCCCCCCCACCCATCATTGCACTGATGATACCACGTTAACTACTGAAGATGTTTCTGTTGCAGGAATGTCTAGGTGATAATCACCCACCTACAAGGGAGTGAGCTGGGAACTCCCAAAAGGTATATTTATCAGGAGTGTTGCCTGAAGCCATGGGTTTACAAGTTGCAAGACTGTCCCTCCTCTAAGAGGCCAAAAGAAGGGTAGCCCTTTTGGCTCTTTCAGGGTTATTTCTACCCCGCTCAGCCCACTCCACTAGGTGGTAGCTGAGAGTGCCTCTTGGGACTAGGACATAGCAACTGCAGCACGCTTCTGAGGAAATCAGCGTGGGTCAACAAGTGAAAACTGCTGAGGACCCTGTGGGAAGGGCACATACTACAATGACCCCAGCAGAGTGCGCCACCAGAGCTGCCTTCCCTCGCTCCCTCTCTACTACGAGAGGGGAGGGCCTGTTGCCAGCAGGTGCCTGGTACACACATGACTCTAACAGAGGTGAAATTTGCTCAGGGACAAGCAATCAATGGGCTGCTTTAAAGGCCAAAGGATGGCCATCAGCCATGAACCCTGGCCTGTATGTAACCCTCTGCACAGACATTTGGCAGTAGCCTGTGGACTAACCATGTAAACTGGCCACTGGCATCAGGGGCAGTGCAGTGAACGATAGTGGGCAAGGTCCTGGGGGTGGGGGCGCTGAAGCAGGTTATCTGGGAATACCCCCAAACCTCTGCCACTGACCTGCTTTTCACGTGGCAGCCCATTCACCTCTTTGCCTGTGGGGAACCAAGCAGCAGACACTGGAGCAATGAGCTAGAACGGTGTATCCAGATGGGGTACCCACTGGAGTTGGTAGGAGCCCAAGAGGCATACAAAGCTGGGAAGTATAGTGATTCCGTGACTATGTTCCTGCCCATGCCCACGGCATCTGCTCCACGATCCTGAACGGTGAAGCTGTGCCCACATTCTGGGCATATGTTAGCAGCTCTGAAGGAAACGGACTGAAGGTTGGAAAGGCAGGTGTGTGGTAGGTACCAGGAAAGGGAAATCTTCCTCTTAAACATAAGGGAACATAACCATAACAGACTGGGAGGTAGAGTGCTGCCTGGGGTTTTGAGGTCGATAAATTCGACCCCACTGAGGCTTTTCACTTCCTGTGGCACACTTGGACCTTCCACTCACCACAAATGACATCACAGGCTTTGTAAGCTGCCCAGGCTGCTGGTGGGGCAAAGTCCTGTGGCACTTCAAATAACTCAGGACCTGGCATTTGTTGTGGGTCACTGCACAGGATGGATTGGCTACTTTATTCCTCGGGAAACTGAAGAATTGGGAAGAACAGGGGAAGCCTCCACACGGCTGCATGAAGGGTCTCACCGACGGGCAAGCTCCACGTGTGTGGAGTGGGAGCAGGGCCTTCACCTGAGCTGACAGCAACAGCACGAGGGTTGCAAGTGGGTCCCTTTCCTGGCATACAGAAGCCCGGACTTTACTCCTGCCCCACAGGGGACTCCCCAGGGTTGCACATGTGGTACACTCAGCCTGGGAAGACATTGACGGTGCCACTGTTCTCACCACCCCAAGGGAAGCCATTAGCACCATCCTAATGGAGGGAGGGTGTGGCCTAATCTCAGTACCTACTAAACATCTGCCTTCCAACGCAAGATCTGAAAGCGTGCATGGAAAGACACACGTGGAATATAAGACGGGGAGTATGTCTATCTATATAAGAGAGGTAGGACAAACCATCCTGAGGAGAAAACAATGGGACTAGTGGTCCCCTGGGGGACATGGGAGAGGATGGGGTGGGGAGGGAGAGCAGGGAGCCAACAAACTCAGGGATGAGGGAACAACACAAGATCTAAAAATGATGGCGAGGAGGGCG